GAAAATATAGAGGACGAGACTACGAGCGTCTGGGATTAAACGGCGACTGATTCGGAGTCCGAACGAGGGATAAACGAAGCATTAAACAAGAGCGGAGGAAGAAATACGGGTAGGAGAATTACGACCGTATTTTCCCCTCCCATGCCCGTATTTTCACTGCCGAGAGGAGCTTTGGATATGCTGAAACTTAACCAAAACGCGTGTTTTGGGCAAAATACGGGCATGGAAGAATTACGACCGTATTTCTGCCCGTATTTCGCCCAGAATCGGGTTTTTGAGGCAGATTCGAGCCAAAGGAAAGGGGAGCTGGGTTTTTGGATCCCAAACACCCAAAGGACGAACCCTAGAGAGAGAGAGAGGGCGACTTGGGAACATTCTTGGAGCTATTTTGGAGGATTTCTTCGCCATTGGAGCTCGGGAATCAAGCTTGGAGATGGAGATTGAAGATCTAGATCAGATTTCTGCAGTCTCTCTCTTCTCTATGGAGTAACTTCCCTTCACTTAGGTTTTGAGGAACCCTAGTTCCATGTGTTAGGATCTTTCTTATATGAAGTTTTGGATGCTATATTGTTTGATTATAATCGATTGAGCCATTATTTATTGAGTCAATTGAAGCCTGATCATCTTCTCTTGATTTCTGCTTTAACCTATGATAGATAGAATCTGATTAGGTTAAGAGAGCTTCCTTGATTGATAGTGGTGAATTGGTTGTGCGAGAGTCAATCAATTCACTGCTTTGTGCTGGAATTCATTCCAGTAGTGGAGATCTGTGTGAATCGCCTTAGTAGTCTATCCCGGTGAAGGCTAGTCGCAGTTTAAGAGGGCTTGGTCAGATTAAGAGATTCCAAGCTAATTTAGGATCTTCCGCAGTTTAATAAACAGTAGATCAACCAAAGGTAATTGCAACTTGGACCTAATTGAGGAGCTAGGGGGTATCATACCTAAGTGAGTTCCCAACTTGTGATTAGTAGAGTAGTTTAGTAAATCAATCCTTAATCTAGTTTGCTAGATAATGAACTGAAGGTGAGTAATAGTAACTCTAGAGACCCGTGGATTCGATATTTTTTACTTGTGCCACTATACTGCAGTCCCTTTCATTGGTTACACTTGGCCATTGTTAGGTGTTGTGTTTTAGCGAGTCACCTACATCAGCATTATGAATATATTTCATCTAAGCGAATATTGTTATTTAAAACTTCAGCTCCCCTCATCCGGCCGTTGCAAGTTATCAATGAGATTACATAATATAACTTAGTATGACATTTGCATGGTATAAAATTCCATATCCAATAGAGAATAACATAAATTTGGCATTAATGTTAGATCATCATTTTGATTCAAATATAATTTCCTCGATCAAGTTAGGAATATCGCCAATCGGCTCTTTCTCATCCTTCCCTATCTTGATAATTGTGTACACACTTCTTGGATTAGCGATGTTGTAATCTGTGATCTTGATGGCGAACTGCAACGTCATTACCTCAATTTGTAGGAGATGGGCAAGTGGCGGTGCTCTAATTCTATTTTTTTTCTTAGAACAACCTTTCAACCGACATTCCTAAGAACTGAGCTCCCACTCTATCCATAATAACTAATCCTCTCTAATTTTGTCCGCAATTTGAAGGTGAACCTGAATCTGTATAATGATGGTAATAGTATAAAAAAATTAAATTTGTTGAAGTACACGTTATCTCAAAATTATTCAACCAATAATACGAAAATAGTCTCATTAGGTAATGTCGGTGGGCAGAAGAAAAGTGTATCTAATTCTCATATCCATTTTTTTAATCGAAGATACCAATCTCTTGGAATCTCTTTATGTTAATCATATTTAATTTATAATTGGATTACATTGATAATGGTTGGATTTGCTGTCGTTTTTAATATCTTTGTACAATTCTCACAAAAGTACTCATTTGAGTCTTCTTCGAGTTTTTGTGGACAGGTTTCGCATCTAGAATAGCACCATCTATTCTTAACCTTCACAACTTTGCATTTGACAGCATACATAGTTCTCTACATATTATAGAAATTTTTAGTATTTGATAGTTAATGGGTTGTTAATTCAAAATTGATACTTACCTCTTCTCCATCTTCCATTTTTAATGGGTAATTGTTTCAGTGAGTCTAGTAGTTGTGAGTAAATCCGAATACTGAATAAGCTGGCCAACAACATATGTGGAATGAAAATTATAAAAACCTAATGTTTGTGGTTGTACATGCATAAAATTGAAGTAATTTTGAATTTTGAATTGTAATTTGAACCTGAAAGGAATTTCCTATATTTGTAATTCTATTCAATCTCACCATGTTTGATGAAACAGAACTTGATGACCAATTTGTTTGTGATTGGCCGGTAACCTCTTATTGACATATTGACCTTAAAGTTCTTGATAGTGTAGACTCTCTTGTCACGAAACAGGGCTTAAAGACCTTGATTTGGCCGTTGGGGATTTGCACCCAAATATCATTACAATTGAGAAGTAAAATATGCATATTAATAAATTCTTGAAACTTCAGTCATAGAATTTGAATATGTGTGGTTTTAGTTAGTTTACCTTTGAGTCAATAACTATCATATCTAGACGAAGAATAGTATTTGTGTTGAGGTTGATTGCCAACCACTTCCTTGAAACTCGACATTGAATAGTCCAGTTCCTCTTTTGAGTTATAAGATCTGAGATCAGTTGGGATTGCATATTGACTAACCTTGCATTATAATATTAAACAATAATTTGAGTTTGACAATAGATATCAGTGTAACTCTTAGAATATGTACTTAGCACATTGTTAATGTAGGAAGTGTGCAATTATATAAGGGACACAGTTTAGCTCTTTCTAAAATAAGGATTTAAGCATATATAATCACGACTATTGACTGCATAGTAAAAGTTGAAAAGTAAGTTTAGAAGTAGGATTGAAGAATTGCTTAAAAGGAACAAAATTTAACAAATCATGAACAAAGTTAGGACACACACGTAACTTGTTGTATTAGGATTATAGTTTCAGTGTAAGATAATAATGTAAGGGATGAATTTGGAGGGAAGTGAAGGACCAGATATTTTTCTGTGAAAGAGATGTGACATTATTAGTAGTATCAACATTATTAATTACTATTATTATATAACATAGTTCTCATGCCTGTGGCATTCTACTTAAATATAAATAAAAAAGTAAGTAAATTATCTTCAAATATATTTTATATTATTATATTCAATTTGATGTTAATGAGTTTTCACATTACTATACATTTTGTTAAATCAACATGAACCGGACCGAATCAGTTGTACCATCCCACTTGCTAAATCGTCGCAATGGTATAAACTGGTTGACAACCTTGATATATGAGCATTATATTAGTATATGTTATTGTAGTGTGTTTGGTTTGATAAGTCTATAATACATGCTTTTTTATTTAAAATTGTAATGCATAATAATTAATTATGTCAGCAAACAATATTAGATAATGTATCTTAGATATGAAAGAGAGAACACGATAACAAAAAATTGCATTGGGAATTCCATGAGAATTGCAATGCTAGTAAAAGAAACTTCGTGAGGATACTTTTTCAAATTTGTCATTTTTGTAGGTCACGAATTTGGTTTTGAACTCACTAATAGCAGCCCATGTCCATTAAATACTGTTTTTACCAAAGTATCCCTCCGCCTTCTGCACAGAAGCTAGCAAAATTGCAATTGAAGTGGTTCTAGAGGAGAACCTCCATATACTAATGGTTTAGATTAGATAATACCAACGATCAAAGACATACACAAAATTGTGTGCTATTCGGCACCAAAAGCATGCACTTACCATGCATCTTCATAATTTTAACTTCTTAATTACCACTAACCTCCACTATTTGCTGTCTCTATGTTTCCTCGATTATCCATGTTTTCCCGGACGATGTGGTACAAAGTTAATTTTTTGGGTAAACACTCTATAAATTATATACTGAAATGAGTCCTCTAATATTTAATGGTAAACCCTAGCAAGTTCTTGGGGATTTCAATGACATTTTGTCTACAAAAAATGCATTTGTTGGAGACACATTCATCAAAAACCTAAAGATCTTTGCTTTACAAGTTGTTGATGGTGTTAATGTTCTCATGTCAAACCGTCTACGAAAAATAAGGCACCTTCGACGAAACCGCCTTCTTCTAAATTACCTCCGGATGAATGCACGGATCTTGGCACCCGAGATTGTCGTTATAGGACGTGATTACGAACAGAAATAGAGAGATTAGACAAAGATTTGGGAGAAAAGAGCAAGAACAGACCGGCGGGCGATTTAGGGAGAAGAGGAAATCAGGGTTGGGAGATGCGTAGAACTATTCTTTGATTATTTCTTGATTGATTCCTGCGAAAGTAACTAACGTACAATATATAGACTCTTACGTGGAACCCTAAACGACTTAAGTCTATCAAAACACTACACTACCCTTGACCAAATGCTTGCATCTATCAGTCCACCCCCCTTAAAATCAACCTTGACCTCAAGGTTGCAGCCAAACTGTAATGGGAGTACCCAAAAACAAAACACGATGGCAACAAAAACCGCATATGAGCAGAAAATGATGATTATAGTCGACAAAACTTCAATGCATCCCGCTCCGCAATCCACCAACTTTCCTTCAAATATTTTCTTCTTGTAGCAGCATACCACGACCAACATCACCACACATCTTTCTTCCTCTTGCTCTTTGAACGTTCCACCGCATACATGCCCTACTGGTTGCGCTCTTCGCACACAGTTACCCTTCGAATAACCTCATCACCATAATGCCTTCCCCAACTGTTGACATCATAGGAGGTCACCCTTCCACCCTTCCACTTTCCATCACCACTCTTCCATTCACACACAAACTCACTAGGGAATTCAGCTTTTACCATATGGCTCGAGTACATAAACAGTAACCCTTGTAATTTTGCATAAGTGATGGTCGATCCAGCTGCAATCCAGCTTGCATTGGGCTCCCTACTTGACACGAAGCCAACCCAATTAACTTGAGCGTCGGCAAGTGCGGGAATATGGACTCGACCAACAGGGTGTTCCTCTATTCTGCCCATCGATGTTGCTTCCTCCCTCGACTTCCTGTAGCTCGTCAATCCACTCTTCCGGAATAACAGCCGAACCGAGTAGCTCATCCTCAACTACCACCACTATGAATGCTCTCCCCTTTCCAATCTTTGAGTCAAGCTCCACAAAGGCCTCCAACGAGTAATCAAGATCTCCATTAATGCCATTATCGACCCTGTCAGTCATTTTTCCAAGCTTCACATGATAACTTGTCACCCTACGAAAACTGAACTTTACGTTGCTGCCTGGGTCGTAAATTCCACCTTTCAAACACACCGTAAGTGTCTTCAAATTATCAGCTTCCATCCTCCCTCGAAACTTCTTCGAGCTAGTATTTGGGCCACACCAAGTGAAATCATGGTCGTTACGTGACCCTCTCTTGCTCATCGTCGAATAAAGCTTTCCCCCAACTGATATATGTGACTTGAGAGCAAACCCAACGTAGAGAACAACATGAGATAATTTCCCAAGTAGCTTGTTCCTGTTGGTAATGCACCTAAGTACTTCCAATAGAGTTCCATGACTCTCATCATTATACAATTCCATACAAAGCTTCTCATAAACAGAATGACATGCTTTCCATCTTTGGATAATCCCATCTCATGATATAACCCCTTAAACCCTTTGTTCCTTACCGCAACCTCCACCTTCCTTTCTTTCTAAATTTCCACCCATTTAATTGGTCCCCCAAAATATGCAACAACAGGGAGGTGTTCAAACTTCCCCTTCTCCCATGCTGCACTAATTTTGCCCCCGAAGATCTGTTACTCACTTGCTTTTCTCCGGAACAAAGAGTGACTTTATCAATCTTGATTTAAGACGATGCAAAAATATTTATTAGAGAAGTAAAATGGAAAGCCATATCAAGACTTTGCTTTCGAGAAGTGTGTGCAAACTGGATAAAACCGTTTTTGTGTGGTAGTTGCCATGTTACCAAATTTGTTTTTTTTTAAGAGGACTGTAAGCCAAGCCATGAGAATATCAGTAAGCCCTCGCTTTCACTCTCACTTTTGATTTTGCTTGCTTTCACTTCCCACTTTTGATTTCGCTCATCACTCATCCTATAGGTGATTTGAGTGTACGACACTTTAGCTACCATTAAGATTCTGGTCATCTTGAGATGTCTCCTTTTATGTTGATGGCCAACTGTGCGCCAATTTTGTTGCTTGTGAAGATTTACTCAATATGGATATGAGAACACCATATGTCGTGGACGTTTTTGTTTTCTCATGAAGGGGGATTTTGTCCAATATGACTTTGATTGTAGGAGTCTTCTTGTTCTTGAAATGTAGTTTATTCAGATGGGTGACAAATATGTGAAATCTCGACCTTATCCATATAAAGCTTCTAGTTGAGGGATTTCTGCTTGCCCCCAAAGTATGAGATTAACTTGATGGGTTGAGAACCACTATTATCTTGATCTTTTTTTGACGAAGTTTTGTTTGATAATGTTGACGGTCTAGGGCATATTTGGGGAGTTTATCTTTAACTAGCTTTGCCCCCCTGTCTTTGAAATTCTAGTTTCACGAACCGAGGTTGGGGTTTTTGTGAGTGCAATATGGCTAGGGATCTATAGAGATTATTGTTTGACCACTAAATGTTGACTGCAGTGGATTTTCAGCTTCTGGCTGTCTCTCAAAATAATGAGTACCTTGGATGATGTGATTTTGGCTATAACGCTTTCTTACCATGAAAGTTTTCTTGCTTGAAGGTCCTTTTGGTTGTATCTTGAGATTGATCGGCAAAGACCTTCTGGTGTAGGTGGTTGGTACTTCAAATGCTAACCCGGGGGCACCCAGATTGTAAGTCCCACAACGTTTGTTCTTTTTTTTTTGTGTGTGGGACTTAACTAGCTTTATTATGCCCCCAACTATGCTTCTCTTTTTCCCTGATCTAGCGCTTATAATTGGTAGGACAATTATTAAAAGGTGGAGAGTCTTCTTGACGATTGACGATGTGAGTGCCACTTCTCATTAGCTAGGTTGAATGGGTTATTCTTTTTTTGGTAAAGGTGAGGATTCAGACGCCATGTGCTAGCTGGTATTGCGTAAATATCACACAATTGGATTTTAATGTGTAATTTTAATGAACAATCTCTGCTTGTAAGGATGTAAGCTCCTGAATCGAATATAAGGGTGCTTCCTGCGTGCGATTCCTTTGTATGATAAATATATCCTTGATCTTCCTCAATCTTCTAGTCACAAGAATCTATGAGAGTTTTCTTGGTATGATACTAATGTTTGGCTCTTTGTGCATCGGGATTTGGCTATTTGACTTCTTGTAAACTGAGTCTCAATTTGTTGGCGAAAGTCGACTATAGTGGTGACGAGATTCTACAAGTAGCATGATGTCGTCTACTCATTACACATTTTGACTATTAGCTCACATGATTTAAGGTCACCAGTAGAGTGTTTATCTCTCGATTTTAGAAAAACACATACACTCTCAACACCAGTGGCTGCTCAAAATATTGACAGTAACAGGGTTTAAATAATTGTTCGACACCAATGGGGTATCCCAAATCTCAGCACTAGTGGGGTGCTCATAATTGCTTATCATGGCAATCTCATGGCTTAACTTTTGAAAATAAAACCGGATTTGGATGGCTTTCATTTTTGTAGAAGTTAAATCCGTTTTAAAAAGGATCCGTAGGAGCATTCGTCATTTTGAGAATGAAAAACCATTTATGTGAACTCTTAAATTAGGCTTGATAATGGCCACACAATGCTCCAAAAAGGTCGAAACATGAAAGTTCTTTTATTCGTGAAGATGAAAGCAAAAGTGATACATATTTTGTTATGGCAAATGATCTCGATATTTATTTACTTAGACAGGCTCGACATCATCCTTGAACTGAGTTTTTCCTTGTAGTACGCCCACTAATTCTCATGAGTTGGCAGTGAATTCCTATTGACGCCTGGGCGTTTCGACTCTTCTTTGAATTTTAACCAACCGGCTTTTACCATTTCTTGAATCCTTATCTTGAGAGTGTTACTATTTTCCACTGAGTGCCCTTGGACTCCGGAATGGTAATCGCATTTTTTATCAATCCTATACCATCCTGGATATGGAGATCGTAGAGTCTCACCCGGAATAGGAGCAATCAGTCGTTCATGGAGTAACTGAGGGAAGAGTTCGGTATACTTGACTGGGATTGGATAAAATTCCCTTTTTGATTTCCCTGGGATAGTGACATCTCGATTAACACCTTTTTGTGGTATCGGTAATGGGATTTCATTTGATGGTGACATGAAATTTAGAGGTCGCAATATTGGTGTGGTTGTTGCAACATATGAAAGAGCTTGATTCTTTTGAAAGTGACACTTCCAGGTATTCTCTTCTGCTCCCCCTTGGGTTGACTGTAGTTTTATTTTATTTCTTATCCTCTGGATTGCCCTCTCAGTCATTTCGTGATTCTCTAATTTCCCTTGTCTGATGTGGATCACATGCTCTTCAAGTCTTTCCGATCTTCGCGGATTGTCACATTTTGATAGTTCTGCATCATGCATGTTCTTTGAGAGCAAGAGTTGAGTCTTATCACTTGATGTTACGTTGTCGTGCGGTTGGTATAAAATTTCTTTGTCGAATGAAGTATCTCCACTTTTTGCTACCATTGTCCTCTCAATTTTTGACAAAATCCTCAAAATTGTGCATACATCCTTTTTCATTTCTTCAAGCCCAATCACTCTTCTATTGATGTCATTTAAATCCTTCTGAAATGCCTCAATGACGAGCTCAGCCTTGGATCTTGTCGAGTACTTAAGGATTTGACTTTTACCGAGCAATTTTAAGAAAACCTGGTTTCGCCTTAACATTGTTAAATTAATTCTATCCTGTATATGTATGCATGATTCTTATGCAAAAATGCAATGATCCATGAATGCAAAAACGATTTTTAGGGATGCATATGCTTTGCAAAAATATTTGTATGACCAATTTTAAATTAATGAATGAAATTTTTAAGGAAAATATAAAGATTATGGGTTTTGGAAATAACTTTCATCCAAACAATCGCGTCAGTTATGTAATAGGTTGAACACAAAATATCACATCAATATCAAACATACATTTATATGATAGAAAGAACATCACCCTATTTAGGTACACCTATGGCTTCGGGCAGCGTAACGACATGGTTTTAGGGCGGTTTAGGGAGACCTCTAAGCTTACTAAATGCTGGCAGAGGAATTCCTAGGGATTTGGCTCCCAAGTTGTATCCTGTCGTAGCCCTTTCGAACTGGCTAGATACCTCGAGATCAACCTCGAATCCGAGTTTGGCGTGATTACCACTACTATGGATGTCACGGTACTCCTTTCAATTTTCTAAAAGGATAGCTCAGCGTAGAGCTTTTATGCATGAATGCAAAATTTAAAGTGCGAAAATATAATTTGCTCAAATAACAAATAAACACCCAACATATAAAGAAGGTAAGAAAACTTATCAACTCAATAAATGTAGCTCGACTCTCGAATTTCCCCCGCAGTCGCCATCTGTCGCAACCGTTCATCCGGGGTCGGGTCGCGTTCACTTTTTGAAGCCGTCATCGATCTTACTTGGAGTGGATTGAACACTCTTTGGTTGGCTCTATCCTTAGGGTCAGAACCAGGACCTGGTCTACGAAAATAAAGTTCTGGGTTCGGGAGTACGGTTACGAGTGGGGAACTGAAATCGCACCCCCCATAACGCCCAAAATCGGTACTACTTAAGTTTGATAAGTTTTGTATTAGTTAGGTATATTTTTAGTAATAATTTTGTAATTTTAGAGTCCCACTAGACCATTAGATAATTTTATCGTATTATTTTAGAATTTAATTATATGCCCAGTGACGTAAAATTTAAAGATAAAGTTAGTTGATTAGTTGGCTTCGAACCTTACTGGCTTCCTACGTACTCGTTAGACGGAATCAAAGTCCACGTAGTTCATTAAAGTAGCTTTGGTATTTAAATGTAATTTTGACCACGTTTCCCGATCGTGGTTCTTGTATTAAAAAATTTCATTAATGAGATTTAAGTTGATTTATTATGAAGTTACGAAAAGAGAACATGAGGATTTTAGCTACTAAGAAGCAATTTGATGTGTTAGAAAAAAATAAGATTAACTTAATCCGCATTTAACATTTCGTATTAAGGTTATTAAACAATAAAACTAAACTAGATGATTATATTTATGCATGATGGGCCATTAGCCCAACTGGTTAAAATGTCGGACATATAGTCCCGATGACACGAGTTCAAAACTTCGTGAACATTGAATTTTTGTAGTTTTTATTTTAACAAAGAGACAAAGCGGGGGCATGGTGGTAATTTCAAAAAAACGCAATGGCAAGGCTGAATATATCCGAAACCCTAAGGGCAAAATTGCCATTTAGAAAGTGGAGGTATATATTCATCTCTAGAGAAAACCCTAATCGTCCTAACCTAGGCTGAACGGCCGCCTTCCCCTCTTTCTATCTCGTTCTCTCTTCTTTCTCGCTTCTCCTCCATCCAACAGAAGAAGAAAATGAAGGTGGCAAAACCCTAATCGTCTCCCAAATCAGGCGCCGCC